CAAGGCCAGCCTGAACTACATAGCAAGAGCTTGGCTCAAAAAAAAAAATTTTTTTTTAATTAAAAGAAAAGGACTGACGTTGTCGCAGGAGGGTTGCTCCCTGTGGCCACAGCCTCCCTTACAGTGCTTGTGTTCGGGTGGTGCATGCCAGGAGTCCCAGCTGCTGGGGAGGCTGAAGCAGGAAGATTGCTTGAGCCCAAGGATTTGCGACCACCCTCGGCAACACAGGGTGACACCGTCTCAAAAACAAAACAACACAAACAAACAAAAAAAACTGCTAAAGGGGACCCGCCTTTCCCCCTTTGGATGCAGCCCTGTCAGAACGTGATGCTAGGAGCTGCTGTCTGTAGAGAAGGCATCTGGCATCCCTACCCCACAGCCGACTCTGGCTCAGAAACTGCCTGGCAGGGAGGAGCTGGCCCTCTGCCACCTGCAGCCACAGCACCGAGCCACTTGGCAAGCAGATCGAGGCGGCCTGGCCTTGAGACAGAGCGTGTCCTGCCTGTCCCCTCTTCCCTGGTCTGGCTGACAGCTGTCATGCCCCTCCCCTCGCTCCCTCTCCTATTCGGCAGAGGTTGGGAGGGATCCAGACCCATTAACATCCCGACCTCCCCAAGCCGGGGTGAGCCGAAGTGAGCACAGCCAGCCCTCCCCGAGATCCCCTGCTCAGCTCTCACCGTTTGCGTGGAAACACACGGCAGCCGCGTGCCTTCCAGGAGGTATCTGCCCTGACCTGCAGTGGGCTTGAATTTGATCCAAGTGATAGAATTGGATTTGGGCCAGTCAGCAAGCTGGATTCGCAAGGCTTGAGATTAGAGCGATTTGGACCAATTGATGACAGGCTTGGGTTTGGACTAATCAAATGTGGGCCAATCACAGACCTGCTGGTGCTGTATAAGCAGCCCCCTCCTCACACTCTGTCTGCAAGGGCTCTCTGTGGCGCCCTGCTCTCCCTGTACTGTAGCCTAGGTCCTGTTCCAGTACTGCCTCACTTTGCAGACCTGTAAATCTGCTTGTGATTTCTTTCTTGGGTAGTGTGAGCTCAGAAGGTGCTGTAAATCTGCTTAGGATTCTCATCCTAAGTCATGCGGACAGAAGTCTGTAGACAAGCCCAGCTGTAAACACTAGGCTGTCATCCCGGAAAAGCTCCAGTGAGCAGCAGCCAGTGGAGATGGTGTCATAGCAGGTCACCCCGCATTCGGGGGTGGCGGGGAGTGGTGAGTGGCGTGAGAAGGTGCAGTGCCGGCTGGCGTCAGCTGGGGGCGTCATGGCCCAGGGCTTGTTGCTCAGGGCTGAGGCCACTGCACTGGGGAGGGGGAGGCTGGCAGAGCCGCACCATGCCGATCCGTGATTTCTACTCGAATCCAGCCGAAGAACCTAGAACTGCGTGGCAGCAGCCTCAGATGAAGTAAGTCTACCTTCCTCTGCCTGAGGCTCAGGGCC